CGTTAACCTTACTTACTACTTAGTCTACTTATTTAGTTTTTCGTTTCTACTTACCTACTAGGTTTAAGTTTACGTTTACTACTTACTATAGTTTGTTAGTACTACTACTACTAACTATATCTCTCTCTCTCTCTCTCTCTCTCTCTCTCTCTCTCTCTCTCTCGTTGAATTTTGAGAGCATCCAAAAACAATCGTTTTCCAAATATTCTTTTAACCATTTTTTAATAAGAAAATGTTCTGTTTGAGAAACTTTTCATGACAAACACATTCCAAAGGTTCCTATAGCTTAATGCACTGAAAACTAGGAGGCTTAAACAAAATTCAGTCCATCAGACAAACAAAAAGGACAGACATTGAGATGTTTTGTCACAGTGAAATGCTTCTCTTGCAACCTGGTCCATTTCAACCAGTACACAGTAATTTCAGTCATCACTTGCACAAAATTTGGGCTTATTTCATCATAATTTGCAATATTTTGGACTTCAATTGACCATAATAAGATGAGACTAAGGACACTATGAGACCCTCCCACACATGAGACTAATGATACTATAAGACCCTCCCACATCCATGTGAATAAAACCTCAAAATATCACTATTAAATTTTGGACACAAATCTCTAAAAAAGTTATCAATAAACTCATTCACCCAAGTTTCACACCCATGTGATAACTTTTCTAAAGATCTATATCAAAATAATAACTTTTCTAAAGATCTATATCAAAATTTAATGGTGAATATTTGAAACCCTACTCACATGGGTGTGAGAGGATCTCATAGTGTCATTACTCATAAGATCACACAAATTAGGAATTTAAACTTTGAATAAACAACCTCAACTTATTCAATCTCAGCTGTTGCATCCATCACAAGACCCTCCCAGCCTTGATGCACGTGTTTGTAAGCACTAGGCATTTTCTTCGAATCTTTGAATGAACAAAAGCAGACATGTTATTTTAAAAAAAAATTGGAGCCCACAAAGCCTGGGAAAATTTCAAATGAATTGGTGCCGATTTTTCACACTCAAGCATGACTCTCGAATCTGAATCATCCATTCAACCACACTCTTGATTCTCTACATAGCCTTAAATCCGACAGATCTCACATAATCATAATTTTCTCCCAAGTCCCTTTAAGCCTGACGTCAAAAAATATATCTTAGGAATAAGGGAACAAGGATTACAGCAATGGCATTACATCAGTAAGAGGGACTGTGGGGGAAAACTCTAGGGCCGAATTCTCCTAGGATCTCATGTTACAATGGGGGCAGCTTAAAAAAGTTGGAAATCCTAATTCTAGGCAAAAACTTCCTTGATCTTTGTCTTTTGCTCTTCTGTCAAGGAAGTGGGGAATATAACCTCAAATGCAACGTATAGATCACCTTTCTTCGAGCTCATGTACCAAGGCATCCCTTCTCCTTTAAACTTCCTCACCTCCTTGGGTTTGGTGATTCCCTGAAGAAATATTACACCGATTTTCCTTGATTAAGTACTCGAGATCACACACACACACACACAGAGAAATAGAGAGAGAGAGAGAGGGGGGGGGAAGGGTAAGTCATCCCCAACCTTTGAGCTAATGTCCACTGGATGCTCATCAAGATGCTGGATGGTCTTTTCAAAACCCACAAGGGCCTGAAGCTGAACATGACAGAGAAGCACACTAGTTAAAAAGGAAAACAAAAGCAATTTTGCTTTATCTGAGGATACAAGAGAAAACTCTAGTATGCCCTCGATGTCTCAGCATAAATTTCCAAAGATAAAACACAGAAGTAAAGTTACATGCTTAGTCAAGAAAATGGATACGTAATTCGCACAATTACAATGCTCAGATGAAAAACAAGAGAGCGGAGATTAAGTTTCACAAGCTTCATGTATTTTTCTTATGATCTTTCTTTGTTTCTTTTTTTGGTTATACTATCCGCATCATATGCATTAAAACAGTGCTGCATGTATGCACACGCAGGAGATTATTTTACCAATAGTAAACCTGAACACATGGAATACTGAAGACATTAAAAAGAAGTTGCTGAAAGTGAACAGTTTAAAACTAATTTAAATATGACGTCATTTACAAGAAGTAAACCACTGATGGCAATTAAATTTGTATGTAATCCGAAGTAACTGCTTAAAAAGCATGATAATGGAATGACAACTTTTTTTACAAAACAGGAAAAATGAACAAGGTTCAAGATCGTATATGTGAGAAGAACTCTAAGCCATTCAATTACTAATGTATCCCACTTCCATAAGTTAATTTCAAAGGTGAATTCAATCAACACACCTGGCTTAACTAACTCTTTTGACCAAAGAAGTTGTAATACTTTCAACAGTGGCAAGAACCAGATTCAATGGGCCCAAATATTATCATAACTGTTGAAATACTCGGCATGGCATCAGGAATTCAGGCCCTGCCAAAGCCAGGTAATCGGGCAAGTCCGAGTGGACTCACCTGAGTACTGTACAGCATGAAATAAAAATTCCAAAACAATCAAAAAAGGGATATAGTTTTTTTGTGTGTGTGCATGTGTGTGAGGTGGGGGGGGAGGTGGGCATTTGGGAAGAGAGAGATAGAGAGATGAATAAAAAGGGGGCCAAAATCTGCCCCCTATTTGAGAGAGATGAAAAAAGGGGCCCCTTTATTTTTTTTCTTCAGAAATACTACTCGGGGATTACTGTAGGGACTCACCCAACCTCTACAGTACTCAGGCAAGTCTGTAAAATACTCGCCCAGGTAATGTACATGTTCCCATGTACCCGAGTGTGTATATGGGAACTCACCTCGTTACCTTGCTGACGACGAGTTACTAGGCCAAGTCCAAGTTGCCTCGGCCTAGTCTTCCAACACTGACTATAATCCATATTGTCATAAACACTTCATGAGCTAGTTGTTATGAGTTATCCCCAATGGAACCATAGAAATTTAATACATGAACCGTAGAAGGCCCCCCCTACATCCGATCATATTCCAACCAATTGATTGGACACTGATAGGCCCATAGGTCATGGTTGTTTTTTTTTATTACTCAGGTTGTAAAGATCAGATATTTGTTTGCTTGCTTTTACTTTTCTTTAATGGATTTGATTGGTCACCATAAGACTACGAGATTGTCTACCAAAAGACCATTTACCTTTTGTACAAAGATATCACAACTATTCTCACTCATTAGATATCAAATTGGATGGCTTGGGGTAAGTAACGAAGTCCAAGAATTTTTTTTTGAAACTTTGTGTCTAATCAATGAGACTCTTACAACCACCCATTTTGAAATCTATGGGACAAGAATGATTGTGACCTCTTTGTATAAAAGGTAAATGGTCTCTCTGTAGCCAATCCCTAAGACTACATATGTTTAATTCATAAATGCAGTAGGCCATAGGCACAAACCCAATTAAGGTGTAACTACACCAGAAAGCAATGATTACGCTAAAAGGACAAGGCATTTACAAGGGTAATATTAACAGTTGTATGCAGGTCATTTGCCTGCACCAGAAAGCAACAGTTATATGCAGGTAACATTAATATTACCAGGGTAAATTAACAGTTGTATGTAGCTGATATTAACAGTTTTATGTATAATTCATAAACACAGTAGGCAGTAGGCACAAACCCAATTAAGGTGTAACTACACCAGAAAGCATAGCTTACGCTAAAAAGACAAGGCATTTACCAGGGTAATAGTAACAGTTGTATGCAGGTCATTGCCTTCCCTTCCGAAAAGATCATGAGGTGCAGTTCGAATCCTAAACTGTATATATGCAAAACAATATCAGCATATGCCTTCTGTAGAACTACTAGGAAACCTCACAAACAAACAGAAGAAAGTTAAACCTTCAGATCGCCTGCTTCTCCATCTATTATAGGTTCTCCATCCTCATAGAAAAGTACCTCCTACAAAAAGAATAGAGGATATCATAGACAATTCACAGGCCAAAAAGAAAGAAACACCAATGTTATTACTGCCATCAAAACCTTGCATCCCATCAAGAAACACATTTTGCAACACACATAACATTCTTGACTAAATAAGTTCAACAGAAACTTTTAAAAGAATGCTCCACTGGATAAGTCAAAAAATCTGAAAATTAAGACTAAATTGAAGAAAAAAACCTGGCTTCACTTGCAATTTTACAATCAAGAAAAGCACCTAATTCAAAGCCCCTAAATCTCTTCTAATAAATGTCTATGTACTGCACTAAATTTCCCAAGAAGGACAAGAGTATACATAATACTGCATTACAAGAACACCATATATTATTGGCGCCCCAGTTAGCCAAGCAATTATCCCTCACATCAATCTACCCATTTACATGAAACTAACATCAACAGTTCATGTATTGGTGTGCTGGCCAGATGACGTGGACGCAGAAATGCTGCAAGGCCCACTTTCTTCTTGATTTGCAAACCACTTCTTTTCTGTCCCTTTGAATAAGATGTAAACTAGGGCAAGGGATTCCCTCTCATGGCATCATAGTTTTCTTCTTATTCACTTAGGGTTTGATAAGGTAGAACCTAACTTGATTTATCCTCATCGCGTGGCCTGGGTTTGGAAATTTGGACCCCTGATCTGATACCATATTAAAGGTGAAAAGGGAAAAAGAAGTTCTGGCCCTCTCATGCCATTCTCATTATTTTCTAAGTAACTACAGCAAGACAAAATATATCCTTAAAAAATGGTTATATTACACATTGCCAAACTCAATAAAGAACAAATGAAGTATCCCCATACTACTAGAATACTTCAACATCTCAAATCAACAAGGCTGCAAGTAGAGATGGTAATGCCTTACTATGCCAACTTAAAACATATAATTTAATACATAGAAAAGAATCTCCTTAGATCCAATGTCCAAAAAATCCTTCTCCAAAATCCTTGAGATCATGAAGAGAAAGCATCTGAACTTCCATATGAACGCTTCCACTCTCATCTTTTAACACGACCATAACCCCAGCAGGTCCCTTACAGCCACCACCCATATCAAGTTTAAGCGCAACTCTAGGACTCCATTTCTCATTATTCAACAACTACTCCCTTGACCCCCAGCCACATCCTGCAAGAACACTTTCATGTACTCTCAACCTACACTGTCCAAAACACAACAAATCCGTTGATCTCCTCATTCCAAGAAAGACCCAAGTAAAGATCTTATTTAACAAAGGGAAGAATAAATGGAGAATAATAGTCCCTACCAAAAAATAAAAAACTTAAAATCAATGTCTTCTGAGTTAAAAAGTTAAAACATAGTGTTGCAACCGTCATACCATTTCCCCAAGCCCTGACTCACAGAAAACACTCACAATCAGCTGGATTAATTGCTAGTTATGACTTTCAACATGGTGGTGGCATTACATCCATAACTAGAAACAAGGGAAGGTAACCAGCCATTGTTGCTTCTCAATGATCTTCTACTGTACCCATGGCAGACTAGAAAAATGGGGAGGAGATGCACATACTTTATTGCGAGGCAGAAATAACCGCATCCACCATATAATGGAAGGGTAAAACTTACAACCTGTGCTCTTTAACAAAGAAAAAAATTATGCATGCATGTCTAGGAACACCACGAGCGGCACCTGCGATTTACACCTCAAGTTCGACCAGAGATTTCATACATCAAGAGGGGTCAAGGATGTCAAATTACCCAATGACACAATTACAAGATATTTCTGAAGCTAACCTTTATGAAGAAAAGGTGCACAGTGCACCTTACTGACTCCCATTCAAAGGTGATAGCTACTCTCCTGTTTCAGTTGTAGGATAGTGATCCATAAAATCTACTAAAAAGATGTTCTCTTCAATGTGATGACATATAAAGACAATGTTAAATACAGAATAAACACTTTCTGGTCAGTAAAACTCTGGAGCCGAATCAATAACACAGATATAACATGAGGTAGTTACGAGCACCTTTAATGGTAAGTATAATCATCACAATACAAGATCATCTATAAAGTGAACTTACTTGTCCATCTTTCATCCCCTTTTCAATGTCCACAGTGATGAAATATCCTTCCCGCTCATATTTTACATTTGGGCATTGTTCACAGACCTGTAAGGTAGATTATGAATAGTTCAAAACCATCAGGAACACTAGCAAGCAAATCCCACTCCAGAGCAGCATGTGATGCAAAACACAGCTTATCTCAACCAAAATAAAAGCTAATATTCAAAAATCAAGAGCAGTGTCAGAAAACACGGACTCGCGCACAAGTCAGGTCTGACAGACTAGACCGAGTCTGTTTGAGACTTGGCCTAGTCCAACCAAAATAATAATAGAATAATGCTAACTGGCCAGACTCGGGGGTTCCCATGTCTCTGGGTCCAGGCTCGTCGGGCGAGTCTGAGTGGACTCACCCAAGTTTTCCAACACTTATGATCAGTAACAATAATATTAGGATAACATCAGCTTGCCTGCTCAGTTATCTGCTGAAACATTCCCGGACCAATTTGCTTGTGATAGACCTCATTTCTACAGTTACAACGCCTTTTACCAGGAGCAGGCTTTAAAACATTTTTCTCCCTCCAAATCTGCAGCACGCAAATGGTGAATATATTATCCAAATAAAGCCAGGAAAATTCAATCATGAAACAGAAACATCAGAGAAGAAAACAGACTTCCGTCAAACAGCCAGGAAATAACTCTTTCAGAGATAGAAAAGTGTGAAGCTGAATACATCAAGATTCTTTTTATGACTGTTAAATTGAGAAATGATTACATCAAGTTGCTCGTGAAGAGCAAACCGACTAGATGTGCTCATTGAATAAGGTTAGCAGTTTCAAAATTAACTTAAGTTGTCCCAAAAGAACCAAGTCTTAGTGATACAGTTTTGAAATAAATTTAGTTTCAAGATTGCAGTTTCTCTTCTTTTTTTTTTCCTTTTCTTATTTAGATAAGTAGAGAGTGCATGATCTCGAATTTTAAAAAATGATCTGCATTGGCTGTTTAACGCCCTCCATCTGATCACCCATCACATCTTATTGCTATAGACCTCAATATATCTAAGGAATACTTGCTATTTTTTAAGCATGATATAAAGAAAATAGAGCACCTAGCAAAGGAGTTAAATTGCTGAAGTACACAATAGAAAAGACACCCACTTAACAATAATAATAATAATGGGTGCGGTTTGTATAGAGCCTAGGCTCTAAACAATCAAATTAGAGCCTACCTTCAAATAGTGTCAAGAAATGGGGTTTCAATATTAGAAATCTTTGTGATAGCTTAAAATATATATTCGTATTTATTTATAAAGTTTAAAGCTTCAAAAATGGTGTAGAACGACAAATCTATGAAAACTTGAAAATCTTGAAAATTGGCGGTCCAAAAATGCATTGCAAAATACACTGTTCCAAAACTTGAAATCCATTTTTTCCTTTTGTTCATGCATCTTGATATCAAGATGATCAATTTGAAGATATGTGGGCATCAAAACAACCTCTTCTAGTGAAATTTTTTAGGTAGGCTCAAATTTGATTGTTTAGAGAGTTCTCATTTAAACTTTTCCCAATAATAATAATAGGCACCCTTCATAGAAAAGATTATCCACAGCCACCGATGTGAAAAGTGAATGGTGCAGCCCTTTAAAGCATAGTGCAGTACGGGGGAGAGTTCTCATTTAAATGCTTTTATGCTATCAATCGTCAATAAGAACTCTGGATATCCAAGAGAAGGCCAGCCATACCTTCAATGATCCACCCATATACAAATCTTCCAATGTTGCCTCCAATTCAACAATAACATCATCCCCCTTTGCGATCCTCTCATCCTCTTCTGCTGGCCCACCGCCAAAGAAGCTATAGAAAACATATGGAGAGAGTGTTACAGGGGACACCTTACAAAATCCATTTACAATCTCAACGACACCAAACAAGGTAAAATCATAACCAGTGAATTGCAAATGAAAAACGGGGGCTTGGCCATTTTTCACTGAGTTCTCTTTTTACATTAAATGTCCCTCAATTAACCATGCCCATAAGGTCCTAAGATCATTTTCACTAATATAAATCACAAAGGCCTTGATTTTAGTGTCAATTTAATAGTTTTTTTTATCTAATCGTGAGGCTTTTTTTTTTTGGGTAGATCAGTGAGGATTACAGGCCCCTATCTGTTTTGGAAAGAGTCAACTTTTTGAAAGTATTAGTGAGAATAGAGGTTGCCACCTTTAACTAGGGTTCAGGTGGTACTACCACCATGACCCCAACCCCTTTCTCATTGGGCTTTTCAGAAAATGCATGAAAGAGCATGAAAAGGTCCCAGACTGGTGCTAGCCATTATGTTCATTGTAGATTAGAGAGTGAGTAATAAATAAATAAATCCATGAAAAAAAAATTGTTATCTCCTTAGATTATCCAATTGTTGCTAGATCACAGGTGAATATGATCTTCATGGAATCAAATATTTTGTAATGATTTGAAAGGAAAGGTAACAGATCAATGAACTTAACTGTGGCAGAAAACTTCGCATAGCTAATAAGCAAACTGCCAATTAATTTTTCTCTTTTTTTTTCCTATTTTGCTGTTCAAAAACTCAGTTCAAATCAAACATTCTAAATAACCTTACTAGTGAATGAGAAAATTCTCAATAAATAAGTACATTATGTCACAAAGTTCTACAAATTCAACATAAATTACCTGCCAAAAATGTCTTGGAAATTCATCCCACCACCCCTTCCTCCACCAGCTTGACTTTGCTTTAGACCTTCCTCACCATACCTATCATAGATTTCTCTCTTCTCCCGATCACTTAACACCTCATAAGCTACAAAAAATATATACAGATCAGACCAACCCAGAATATATTTCATCCATTATTGGTCGCTAACTCATAGAAATGAATAAATAAATCTATAATTCCATAAAAGCAAATAAGATAATAGAAAATTCAGCAATTTAATCCAATACCCAGTTGTGGGGGCACTCGATTGGTCTTAAAAACTTTAACAGAAACAAAAAATAAAGATCCTAATTGGGAGGTAATAGAGAGTTAAGGATTCCCACCATTGTTTATATCAGCAAATTTCTTGTTTGCCTCTTCATTTCCTGGATTTTTGTCAGGGTGGTACTTCAAAGCAAGTTTCCTGTACGCCCGTTTGATCTGGTCTTCCGATGCACCTTTTGGCACTTGCAATATATCATAAAAGCTCTTCCTGCAAAAAAAAAAAATGATAATAATGATAATAAGAGAGAAAGAATAAGCGCGTAAGGAAGATATAGGGAGAGAGAGAGAGAGAGAAATAAATGAAGAGGGAAATAGAGAGAGAGAGAGGGGGGAGAGTACAAGTCAAATGGCTCTTACCCAGGAAGAGCATAATGCGAGTATGACAATAAGAACAATAATATTATAAAACCTGCATTCAGATGCCCCATTGTGGCCCTGAAGAGGAAACTATCAAAATATTAGGGTTTCAGAATCCGGAAAGCAAATGCATAACAGGCCTTCCTATGGTGAATTAAGCTCCAATGAAGCTCAAACTATAAAGAAAAGTCAGGGTTTCTGATAAGTTAGGGATTCCTCTAAAACTGTGGTGTCTGATAGGTGTCTGATAAATTGAGATTTCCAAAAATTAGGGTTTTCTTTGGCGCGAAGGTTGGGCTTTTTATCAAAATGATTCAGAGCGAAGAACGCATATCAGAGGTCGCTCTGAGGACTCGTACTGACCGGAGTTTTTAATTCGGACCAATTGAGTGATAGATTGACGAAACTACCCTTCCTTCCTGTAAAACGATCTACGGTCCTTTGTTTTATTTAAGATTGTAAATTTATGTGCAGAAGTATTTAGACGGTATATTTTTAATATTATTTACAAATCTATATCTACTACAGATTTTGGGGGAGGACTCATACAGATTTTGGGGGAGGACTTATATAGATGAGTTGGCTTGCTCATAAAATCTTTGTCGTATTTTAAAATGTGTATTATTTTTTTATATTATTTTAAAAAATAATATCAAATCTATACCTTCCAATTAAAATAAATGGTGTAGAATATTGTAATTTTACTTCCATAAGTACAGCTACAATCTTATGAAAATTGTACCCATAGTTAAAAGTGAAAAATAGTGTGATCACAATCAAGCTAAGAACTCGATTTAGAGGGAAAAATACTAAAAATATAAATATATTGAAAACTATACAATTTTATTTTAAAAAATCCAATCAGTTAATATCAATAACTATAATATACTAAAATTAATCAAATATTAATTTTGATTAGTGTTTAGCCAAATATAAATTTTGCTTTTTTTTCTAAATTTGTTGGGATACCAATCAACAGTTCAATTAATAGAGGGCCGGCTAATCTATTCTAATCTTCATAACAAAGCTGGTATTTTTTTGATCTGATTGTGTTACCCTTGCATTGTATTGCGAGGTATTACTATATGGAACCATTAGAATATGGTGAGTTTCTCGAAATCACATTTTTATTAAAAAATAACTGAAAACAACTCAAAATGTTAAAGATAAGTAACCAAATAATATTATACTTAATACAAAATACTTATCAAACAATTAAAAAAATAATATCCTTACGAACTAATTTTAAATAAGATAATATACTTCGGACTAATGTAATTATCGTCCAATAAGAAATAAGGAGCAATTATCAATAGAAATAGCAAGGAAAAAGTAGATGAGCTTGTAATTTTGAAGGTTTTCTTTGTCATTACCTTAGATGAACAGGGTATTATAGTTACCGGCGCTTTTCCAATGTGAAGACGTGGATCTTTCAAAAGTGACCAATTGGAAGCGAGAATGGTTGTTAAAACGAATGAACTACGTCCACCTGGCGTCCCGTTCTCTACGATTCCTTCCTAGCAGTTTGACGGGCAAATCTTACTTTTAAACTCCTACGTGCGTAATTCCTTGTTCCGTACGGCGTGGATTTAGCTGGACTTCTTCAAATGGTATCGATAAATCAGGTTTCAATAATGAAAATATTTGAGATAGTTTTAAAACATATTTTTATCTTGATCATAAAATTTAAAACTTCAAAAATAGTATAGATCGAGTAGATCTACGAATATATTATAAATTGATGGTCCAAAAATGCGTTATAATTTATACTATCTCCAAAACTTGAAATCCATTTTCTTCTCGTATCCGTACATCTTGATGTTGAGATGATTAATTTGATGATATTTGAGAATCAAAACAACCTCTTGTAGCGAAATTTTTGAGGCATGCCCTAACTTGATTGTTTAGAGCCTAGGCTTTATATAAACTTTTTCCTTATCATATTTGTATATGGCTCTAAATAGAGCACAATAGCCAATCCCATTTAATTAGGAAAATGTTATGATGATGATGAACTGGTTGGCCCTAGGCTTGTTTGAGCCCGGGTTGGGCCCCGTGTTTTGGACCTGGTGGGTCGGGTTATATCCAGGTCTGGGTTTGGATCCATATCAGAGTTTGATTTCGGCTTAGACCCTATCAACTTAACCTGGTATAATATCATCATCATTATTATGCGAGCTTTATATATCAGGTTGGCCCGACCAGTTATATAATATATAAAATATGTATTTTTTATAGGGAAAGTATATAATGAGACCATTTACCTTTGGTACAAGGTGGTCATAATTAATCTTGACCATTATATTTGAAATTGGGTGGGGTGCATTTATTTCATTGACCAAGCTCAAAGTTCAAAATAAATTCTCTCAAACCTTGTGACACGCCCAAGCTATCAGATTTCATATCCGATGGTTGTAAGTAATTGTGACCTCCATATACAAAAGGGTAAATGATCTCATTGTATAAAATCCTTATTTTATAATATATAAAATATTTTTTTTTATGTTTTATAATTTCTAGACCTGAATCCAAGTCAGATCCAAGTCCAAGTTACATGGACCGACCCAGGTCTGGATCCAATCCACCTGTTGCCACCCCTATTTTCATGTTAAAGGTACAAGAGTTATTTGTATTGGAGCTATTAATGGGCTAGGCCAACTTAGCCCAAAATGCTCCAAGATATGCCCACGGTCGGGCTAGGCCAACTTAGCCCAAAATGTTCCAAGATATGCCTACGGTCGGGCTTGAAACTTTAGTATCGGGCCTAGCTAGGGTCCAGCTTGACTTTACAATAATGAAATCCAAGTCAAAATGGCCCTGTATAAATATGAAAACAATATTTATTATATTTAATATTTAGTTAAAAAAATTTGGCTGGAGCCTAAAGTAGGGCTATGATAACCCAAGCTCTGCCCGAACGTTGGAAGCCTTAACTTGTAACCTGAACCCCAAGGAAAAACTATAGGTGGGTCGAGGACTATTAAGCTTGAAGGCTGGTCTTATTGATTGAACCTCCAACTGGTCTCTTGGTTATTTAGTCTAAGGTAAAAATTGAAAAAAATATTTGACCAGTTGTGCTAGTCTAACTAACTACTTTTGACTGGTTCAATCAGCTGAACAAAGTTGTACAAGTATTTTTTTAAACATATTTCATGTTCTAAAATCTTCACTCGCATTTTTCTTTATAATTTTTAAACTGAGTTCAATTAGTTTTACAAAAAATTGAATTGGTTTTTACCGGACCAGATCCTTCACCCATCTAGTGATCAAACCAATCTTGTTAATGTATATAAAGAGAACGAGGTGCAGATGCTCCTTGCCATAAAAGCATTTTCTAAAAAAAGAACAAAAACAATTTTCAAGTATTGCCTATGAAGGTGAGCAATATGTTCCCTTTGACATGACTATCATAGTCTCCTAGACGTTATTGGAAAGGAAAATGCTTAGACATGGCTGCGGTCATATCAAAATAAGTAAATCCTCATTTTATAAGTCATTGAAAATTGCAAGTCAAGTATTGAAAAAACTTTATATCGATCATCTCGACTTAAACATCATGGTTATGAAAAAAAAAAAGGATTTCAAGCTCTAAAAATAGAGCTTATTGTAACAAATTATGTAGACCATCCGTTTTGCTTTAAAAATAAGTGATCACACATCCAGAAGATTTGTACTATTTTTTAATTTCAAAATTATTAGTCTTGATGTTGAAAATTGGTTTTAGAGCCACATTTCCAAAAGTACTTTCCATATAAGGAATTGAGGTGAGACTGACTTTATTTTGTTTTTCATAAACCTACGCCTTATATAGAAACCTCATCATATTGGATAGGGAAAACTTGAATGTAAGTAAGAGACTTTCCAACCTTGTTAAAATTCGAAAGAGCATGCACACATAAATTGATTGTGAAGAAGAAGAGAAAAGAGATAACACAAGTCAAAATTGTCCTCTATATATAGCGGTACGTATTTGTGTAATCTTTTATAACAATACATATTTGTGTAATCTTTTATCCAAATAATGAAGATGTAGCTATTGGGCTCTATATATAGTTGTACATATTTGTGTAATGTTTTATAGCGGTACATATTTGTGTAATCTTTTATCCAAATAATGAAGATATCGCTATTGGGCTTTGGATCCGTGGATGTAAGGCTTCAGCTTGAACCACGTAAATTTAGTGTTATCTCTCTTCTTCTCTCTTCATAATCTTGTGTTATTTCTCTTCATCTTTTCATCTATTTACATTCTGGGCTCGTGCACTCTCGAACTTTATAATCTTGTGTTATTTCTCTTCATCTTTTCATCTATTTTCATCTATTTACATTATGTGCTCATGCTCTTTAACATGGTATCAACTTTTCATCTATTTACATTATGTGCTCATGCTCTTTAACATGGTATCAAAGCAAAAGAAAACCTCTGGCTCGTGTCGTACCGTGCAAAAGAAAACCTCCGCCCTAAAGTGTTTTTCCGTGCAAAGAAAACCTCTGGCCCAAAGTGTGTTTTGCCGTGTAAAATAAAATTTCGCACCACACCCAAAGTGTTTTGCTGTGCAAAACAAAACCTCCTGCTCAATTGTCGTCTGTCGTAAAAGAAATCTTTCGGACCCAAAAGAAATCCTCTGGACGGCGTAAAAGAAATCCTTCGGACCCAAAATAAATCCTCTGGACCCAAGTGTCGTGCTGCGCAAAAAAAAACCTTCACGCAAGCTCCAGTGCCGCACGAAAGAAAAGAAAAACATCAACCGTGTAAAAGAAAACCTCCACCCTAAAGTGTTTTTGCCGTGTAATAGAAAACTTCCCACCCAAAGTGTTTTGCAGAGCAAAAGAAAACCTCCTGCTCAATTGTCGTCCGGCGTAAAAGAAATCCTTTCGACCCAAAAGAAATCATCTGGACGGCGTAAAAGAAATCCTTCCCACCGGCGTAAAAGAAATCCTTCCCACCCAAAAGAAATCCTCTTGACGGCGTACAAGAAATCCTTCGGACCCAAAAGAAATCCTCTGGACCCAAGTGTCGTGCCGGGCAAAAGAAAACCTCCACGCAAGCCTTAGTGCCGCACGAAAGAAAAGAAAGAAAAGAAAACATCAACTCGTCGAGCAAAAAAAATTTCCAATTCCAATTTCTGTTTGGCAAGTTGGGCAAAAGAAAACCTCCGGCCCTAGTGTCGCATAAAAGAAAACACAACTCGAAAGAGTCGAGCAAAAAACCCTTCCAGTTCCATTTCAGTTTGGTCGAAAGACCTGAACAAAAAAACTTTCAGTTACAATTTCAGGCAAGTTGGGAAAAAACTTCCACCCAAGTTGGGTTTCACTCTGTGCACCAACTTGAGGGGGAGT